GCTCATCCTGGCGGCCAGAGCGCCGGGGGAGGACGGCGAGCCCGCTGCGGCTCCACTCTCCCCGATGGCCAGAGCGCTGGGGGGAGGCAGCGAGCCCGCCACAGCTCCTCTCTCCCCGGCGGCCAGAGTGCCGGGAGGAGGGCGGCGAGCCCACCGCGGCTCCACTCATCCCGGCGGCCAGAGCGCCGGGGGAGGACAGCGAGCCCGCTGCGGCTCCGCTCTCCCCGACGGCCGGAGCGCCATGGGGAGGGCAGCGAGCCCAGTCGCGGCCCTGCTCTCAGGCCGGAACGCCGTGCCGCCCCCCTCCAGGTGCCGACCCAAGCTCATGCTTGGTGGGCTGGTGCCTGGAGTCGGCCCTGCCAGCACGACCTACTATCCGCACACTAAACCCAACAACCAAATGAGACCAAAGTATTCCAGCCCACAGGAGACTAAACTGTTACATCCCACAGGCAGACAAAAAGAGGGACAGAAGCCCACTAGTGCCTGAGGTCCCCACAATGACAGGCAAACGATGAAATGAGCTATACCCAGATAATCCTGGCAAGTGACCCACATACTGCAGAGGAAGGTGAAACACCCTCCCCCCTCTCCCTCCAGGATCACTGCCAATCTGCCCTGGAGGGAAATTTCTTCTTTACCCCACATTTGGCTATCAGTCAGACCCTGAGCATTAAGCAAGAACCATCCAGCCAAGCACCTGAGAGAGAGAATGCTCAGTGCCACCTCAAAACACTGACCCACCCTGTTCAATGTCCCATCTCCAGCTATGGCCATTTTTGATGATTCAGATGAAGAGACCACCCTCCTCCAAAACAGTCAGCACTCAAATATAAATCCAAAGATGAAGTTTAGATATAAAGAACTAAGGCCCATGTGATGCAAATACTTATTCAAGTGCTTCCTTTATCCCATAGGGAGTCCCATTATCATTGGCTATTTCAACACTAGACAGAATTACCTACCTGAAAATTGCCTTTGTATTTTGAGGAGAGAAGCTGTGTGTATTGTTTTATTGTTCAAGTGCCAGTAAAATCCGTTACTACATTTTGATAAGTCACCCCTCAAAATAATCAGTACAATGGTAAATATGGGCAAACCTGAGATCTAGAAGCAAGATTTAGTGAGTCAAAATTTCACACAAGAGCAATTGGGGTGACACTCTAAAAAAAATTAGAAGCTGTCCTGTTCCAAATCTAAATGTAACCAATGTCTGATACATCAAGACAAGTCATCATCAGAATTAAACAACAAAAATACCACATAAATGAGTTCTCCTCTATGTCACCCATGCAACAAATCCTCCTGCCCACTCCCAGGAATACTGTGCTGAAGTCCTTTTTGGGGAGGTAAAGGTTGGAGAAATAGACCAAACCGGATATATAATGTGGATCCTTCTCACCACCTGAAGTGATGTAGATAGTGTAAGAATGCAGTGTGTGACAGTGCAGGGTCCGTATGTACAATATATGCCTATTGCCTCTGTGACGGTATCTCCCATAAGACTTTATGGAAATATGCTTAGAATGTGTTTTATGCTACATATGCCATGTAAAATATCTCAAAGTTTATGATCTACTGAAT